AAACTTATGATAAAAAGCTGGAAATAGCTCTCAACGATCTGAATAACTCTCCAGAAGTTATCAAAACGGATCCGAGCGGTGATAATAATGAACACAATGGCAAATGTTGGGGTATATTCTCAAAAATTCCATTCTCTGGCAAAGATTTGGTTATAATACTACTGTTATGTTACGGGAACTTCTGTGTCGGAAGTGCTTATTCACTGTTGGCTCCATTCTTCCCAACAGAAGTAATCATTAAAACATAAATTTGGTTCAAAACTCATCCACCATCTCATACATGGACACCAGCACCCGACGGTTCAACTAATAAGTGAATCCTTATGTCTACACATTCCTGGCACACGTACAGCTAACTTGCTTACCCTTACCGTACGGCTTATTTGGTGAACCGGTGGTGCTATTTGTCGCGTGAGATGGACGGATGTGTTTAAACCAAATTTTTGAAGAATTCACTACATTTTAGGCCAAACTGAAAGGTGCGAACGAGACGTGGATTGGTTTCATTATCGCTGAATACCAAATCGCCCTCTTTGTAGGCGCCTCTGTATTCGGAAAATTTGTATGTATTCACACATTTCGGTGACAAAACTCTGAAACTAATAAGAGTTTAATTGATTTATTGTTTGGACCAAGATCCCTCACTTAACGCCCAAATACATGATAACAATCGGTTTATTTGTGGCCGGAATTTGTAGCGCTTTATTCGGGTCTGAATTCAAACACTTAATAACTTTAAGAATTTCAATCAAATAAACAAAACATAAATATCAATAATCTCAGAGTCCTTCAATGGTCTCCATCGGGCGCTACGTTCATAGCCGTCGGAATGACCACCAGAACCATCGAGGGGTTAGGTGTGGCCTCGTTTTTCGTCAGTTGCTGGACAATAGTTTGCCTCCAATTTCCCAAACATATCTCAAAACTATTTGTTAGTATAATAACACTGTTTGTCAACTAAATCGTCAATTTTAACAAATGAACGCTCATTATAGGCCACGACTGAAATGTGTTACGGCGTCGGTATGATCTTCGGACCCGCCATCGGCGGTCTACTTAATCAGGTCTGCATTTTTGTCACCAAAAATATTATCCATAATTATCCAACAGATTTAATCAATTATATGATAGTTAGGTGACGAACACTTGTCTGGACACGGCTTTTGTCTGCCATTCTTCATCATGGGATCACTTCTACTATTGGGATCACTACTTATGCGTATCCTATTGCCAGAAATTGATCCTGCTAAATGTAAATCTACTGAAATATGTTTAACCACTAGCCTAATAAGATAATATAATTTCTAAATCTAACAGTGAATTCAACGGATGAAAGCGAAAGTTTGGGCAAAACGAGTGTTTTAGGCGTTTTAAGTAATATCAATATTACAGTGAATGTAATAATTAGTGTCAACTGTTTCCTATTGATTGGCTTCAATGAGGCCACACTCGAGCTCTATATCGCAGACGTTTGTACCATTCATACGATCATTATCTTTGGCAATACATTATCTAATTAACTCTAATAAACAGTTTGCAGATCTCTCTCCCACCACAATGGGAGGCATATTTGTCATATCGGGCGCCCTATACGCCGGCTTCAACCAAGTTTGGGCTTATTTCGCCGAAAAGATGTCCAATTGTCACCCCCTTTGTATCATAGGCTGCACCTCATCATTGGTAGCCTTCTCTATCGTGGGTCCCCTGCCTTTCTTTGGGGGCGATTCGTATGTCTTAGTTCTCAACTCAAATCGTACCAAAACTTTTAATTGAATCCATTTTAATATCGTAGACAACTATGGCTTACAATACTGGCACAAGTATTTCTAGGTCTGGGAATGGGCGGCCAATTTGTTGGCAGTTTTGTGCAAGGATTACGCGAAACACTGTATGCCAACCAAACAAATACACATTTTGCGCAGAATTCGTATTAAAATGTATTAAATTATTTTGTTAGAAAATCCGGATATCCAGACAATGTGTCCACATATGCAGTGGTTTCTGGCATTTATTCCTCGTCTTTCGCTTTGGGGTACACATTATCATCCCATTTAACACTTGTATTCATTTAAATCGTATCAAATCGTAGGTCTGCCATCGGGCCAGCACTGGGAGGTATCTTAGTGGCTCAGTTCCAGTACCGTATGGCTACTGTACCCATAGCGGCGCTCCAATTACTTATGGTTATATTACTAAAACATTTAACAGTGAATTAAATTAACTAATATTTTATTAATTTCCAGATTCTTATGATTGTAACATACGATATAGTAGTCAAATATCGGTCCAAAAATCGCATGCAATTAGTATAACATCTGATTTACATTTTAGTCTTTTTTTAAATTAATGTTAAAATCTCTCATAGAATTTATGCTAAAAATTTATAATTAATTTCAACAATAAATATATCATTTAATGCATAGATTACATTATATTCATGTCCTAATAAAATGCAAATTTCTAATGTAATCAATGAAACAATAAATTAAACCTAAACTACAGTAAAAAGATGTTGTCATTAAAGGCACGAATGGATATCTCTGGCAAACGTTAAACAGCGGACACAATGAATAAATTAATTGAATGCCTATTAAACCCAATAAATAAATCGTTTCTAAAAAGTTCATTAAAGGAAAGCTAAACAAAAACCTATTTTCAAACTTATTAGCACTGATTTTGTGGTGAATCTCAAGACTTTTAAACGAATAGACCGAATAAATCACGAGTAATAAGATTTTGGTCAAAGTCTCGGCCTCTTTGAACAGCAATGGAAACAACGAATAGTTTCCCACAACTGACACCATATTAAACATCTTTGCGTCCCATTTGCTGACCATCGCTAACGGTGTCAATGGGATTGTGATCAATAGGATTGCCTTTTCGTGGACATGCCATCCAAACACATACGAACTGAACGCACACATCACTACACACCTCAGGAACAGTATCTGCGAGTAGTTCTGATGACTTCGTCGCCACAAAAAACTCATCGATGGCTACGGCATTGAATACTAATTAATAGCAATTCATTACAACAAAAGTCATAAATTCTTACCACAATCGCCACAATTACCAATACAAACGTAACTATAGGCGTGATATTAGGAAGCACCTGATGGTCGTACTGTTGCACGAGTCCAGAGGTCATGGAGGCGTTAGCGCCGGGACTAGCTTTGAGGGAAAAGCCCAACACTTTGTCGGCGCTGTTATAAAGAGCCCAGAAGTTAGGCGCCCAATAGGCATGACTTAAGCCGCGTTTGAAGGGAAACAATCGGGCCATCAATTGTCGCATTTGTCCCAAAGCCAGGAACGGACCGAAACTGGCGGCGAATACTGACGACACAATGAGCGCCAGTTTCGCGAAATTTGTTGCTTTAAAATTCAAGTGCCGATCGAAACAGTAGTTCCGCAGCAAATATACGAAAAACGCGGGACTGATGTAGACGTAGATGTGCTTCATATTGAGCAACACAGCAAACCAAAAGGCGGCCTCCAGTTCCCGCTTCTGGATAACGCGGGCCATCGATAGCAACAGTATTCCACTCAATATACCGTTGTATTGGAAATGGATGTGATCCACAAGAAGTAGGCCGGGATTCCACAGGAAAAGCATCGCCAGAATCACGTTCGGGTGAAACCATTGATCGTAAATGAATTGTTTGCTGAAACGGATCTTGAGTTTAGCGATGGTTTGACACCATTGGAGGACTGCGTAAAAGTAGACAAAATCGGTGGCGATTACAGTGAGTCGCTGGAAGACTATAGTTTTGTCGCTAATATATCCATTTGCGCTGATTTGTAGCATATTTTCGTCAAAATAATGGGCAAACTTTGCCAAAAGCAACTCAAACCACGCAAACAGTGGCGGATAATCCAGAGTCCATTCGGACGTCGACTAAACAAATGGGAAAATAAAACTTTTAAACAAAAAATAGTAACTTAAATAGTTTTAAAATTTTGTAAACTTTGTGACAGACATTCAGCACTTATGGTAAACACGATTACATAGATTTACATTTATAAATGAGAGTTCAAACTATAAACTCATTATTAAATAACATTTTAACGGACTTTACGACACAAAAAGTGATGAAAATTAATTGAAAAAACATTGATTTACTTCATAATACCATTGACTGATCGGCAAGTTATGCGTAATGGAGAGCCAATTGCGGTGCACTTCAAAGTCTGTTGAATGGCTTTAATGGCAAACAAAACAAACCATTAATTCATTCATACATTTGCCGTCAAATGACAAACAAATGAAACGTCAAATCAATACTAACTATGACTTCATTAGCAAAACTTTAATACAAGTGATACTTAAGGCGAGCGACCAGTACTTGTAATCAGTCATCGACGACATTATCTGATCGTCACCTGATTTGATCCGTAACTTCATTGTCGCTCTTATGGTGCGAATCAATCAGCAAATCATAAAACTGTCAAAACATTGGAAACACATATCAATCACTATTTAGCCAACAATTGCCGGTCAACTGCATAAGGGGTTCACTATAACGGGGTTTGTGGCGATCATTGGGTAAACAGCTATCATGTGATGGGAACAGACTGTGAGACACTTACGACTACAACACCAATGTCTTATCAATTGATGTCAATATGGGATCAAAACACATGAAAATCGCATTTAAAAGTCCAACGAATCCGTCAATAATACACATCAACAACACATATGATTGGATGCCAACAACATGTTTACCACTACTCACTGTACAAACAATACCTCACATTCAATGGAATTCGCGTACATCACTCTCGCATTTATAGCGCAATGAGCGCACAGTAGGGCTGAGTAGCGGTCGCTATAGAAACCCAGCATTTAATCAAACACTCGTCTGATTTGTATATTGTTTTGATTGGATTGGAGTCGACATTACAGTCTCCGTAACTTCATTGTCGCTCTTATGGTGCGAATCAATCAGCAAATCATAAAACTGTCAAAACATTGGAAACACATATCAATCACTATTTAGCCAACAATTGCCGGTCAACTGCATAAGGGGTTCACTCTAACGGGGTTTGTGGCGATCATTGGGTAAACAGCTATCATGTGATGGGAACAGACTGTGAGACACTTACGACTACAACCACAATGTCTTATCAATTGATGTCAATATGGGATCAAAACACATGAAAATCGCATTTAAAAGTCCAACGAATCCGTCAATAATACACATCAACAACACATATGATTGGATGCGAACAACATGTTTACCACTACTCACTGTACAAACAACACCTCATATTCAATGGCATTCGCGTACATCACACTCGCATTTATAGCGCAATGAGCGCACAGTAGGGCTGAGTAGCGGTCGCTATAGAAACCCAGCATTTAATCAAACACTCGTCTGATTTGTATATTGTTTTGATTGGATTGGAGTCGACATTACAGTC